CTGAACTGAATGCTGGAGTTTTATAAGATGCCAGTTAATTCACATGCATATTAAAGTTGAGAAAAACTGGTCTAGAGAGAATAGGGGGTGGTGAATAGAGCCTTGGTCATTCTTTCTGGATGCAGACACTTTACTATATCTCTTCACTTGAAGGCTATAGATAGCGCTTTTTGCTTTAAGGAAGAGGATGAAAGGAAAAAAAGCTAGAGTATTTTAACAGATAAGAAGTGTTTTTTTTTTTTTCCCCCTTTTTTTTGGAGAGGTTTGTTGTTATAGGGCTCGTGCGCTTGCCAGAAAGACAGAGAGAGACAGAAAGCAAGAAATCACCCCCCAGGGGAGATGGCCATGCCACAATCTCTTCTCCTCTATTCTCCTCTCAGGATCTTGGGCACGCACGCACACGCGCCCGGTGTAAGTTTAAGTCATGGGGTCTGGGACTCAAACCGCAGTCGACTACATGGGAGTCCAGCAACACAGCCATTACACCAATTGCTGGTCCCAACAGATAAGAAGATTTTAAGACCAGATATACTCAATACATTCCCAGATTTTAGTCAAGCATTCTGAGCACAGAGGTTTAAGAGGAAGTAAATTTAACAAATCAAAGTTTAAAAGAAAAAAAAATCACAAATTCATGACGAATCAGCCTGATCAGTTGAAGTGTGAACTTTCAAGGAAAGAATCAGAACTCCTTTGGAGCTCCAATAAATCTTAAAATTCTGAGCAGTCAAAATTCTGATTGCATGTACCATTACTGAATATTCCTAGAGTCATTTAGAGTAATAATGGGGCTCACATCATATAGAATTATAAAAAGTCCATACAGAACTCCGGCATGAACCAGCTCAGGAAAGTGTAGCAGGAGACATGGTAGAAAGTGCAGTAAGTTTCTCTCTTTCTCTGAGGGTTATTTTGTGTTTAAACTTTAGTTCCTGGTGAAATTTGGATAGTAAATGCCATCTGTTTTTAAACCTTTAAACTACACCTCCCAAGAAATTTTAAGTCACAAATAGGGAATGCCATATATTTATGGTCGCCATAGCTGCTAAAATGAAATACCTGATATTCCTAGACCCATTGCTTGAAGCGAAACAATACCAAACACATTTAAATAAAAGAGTTATGGTATGCCTTGTTTATTCTGAATGTATTTTCTTTTTTTGTGTGCTGACCCTTAGGTGCAGCAGTACTCATTTTTCAGAGAACACAGAGTGCCATGGTTGTGTGGTTCTCTGTCATCCTGACCCCAGCAACATATACATATTTAAGTTCAAACTATTTTATAAAGAAAATTTCCTTAAATAATGTAATCATATGATAGTAAGAGGCACATTATAGAAGCATAAGTACAAAGATAGCTGCTTCTGGGACGGCTGTAATAGGAGAATGCTTCCACTTCCTTTAAAGATATTCTGCTGAGGACTGGCCCATGGCCTGGTGGTTAAGGGAACTGGATCCCAAATGACCAACCACAAAATCTGATCTGGCCACTCCAAAAATACACTGGACAAGTGTGTGCCCCACATCCTGACATGCTGGAGAAATGGAGGCGAAGGGATTGTCCCATGACTATGTTCCCTGGGGATGCTTTATCTCTCTCTATTTCTCTCAAGTGAGCACAAATGCTCTCTAGCAAAATTAAAAAATAAAAAAAAGATATTCTGACTGAAAGTTTTTTCATGGAGCTTAGGTCTCTCCCCAGATGAACTCTAGTAACTTCATTCTTAGATTAAAAATATATATATATATATGTGTGTGTGTGTGTGCAGGAGACATGGTAGAAAGTGCAGTAAGTTTCTCTCTTTCTCTGAGGGTTATTTTGTGTTTAAACTTTAGTTCCTGGTGAAATTTGGATAGTAAATGCCATCTGTTTTTAAACCTTTAAACTACACCTCCCAAGAAATTTTAAGTCACAAATAGGGAATGCCATATATTTATGGTCGCCATAGCTGCTAAAATGAAATACCTGATATTCCTAGACCCATTGCTTGAAGCGAAACAATACCAAACACATTTAAATAAAAGAGTTATGGTATGCCTTGTTTATTCTGAATGTATTTTCTTTTTTTGTGTGCTGACCCTTAGGTGCAGCAGTACTCATTTTTCAGAGAACACAGAGTGCCATGGTTGTGTGGTTCTCTGTCATCCTGACCCCAGCAACATATACATATTTAAGTTCAAACTATTTTATAAAGAAAATTTCCTTAAATAATGTAATCATATGATAGTAAGAGGCACATTATAGAAGCATAAGTACAAAGATAGCTGCTTCTGGGACGGCTGTAATAGGAGAATGCTTCCACTTCCTTTAAAGATATTCTACTGAGGACTGGCCCATGGCCTGGTGGTTAAGGGAACTGGATCCCAAATGACCAACCACAAAATCTGATCTGGCCACTCCAAAAATACACTGGACAAGTGTGTGCCCCACATCCTGACATGCTGGAGAAATGGAGGCGAAGGGATTGTCCCATGACTATGTTCCCTGGGGATGCTTTATCTCTCTCTATTTCTCTCAAGTGAGCACAAATGCTCTCTAGCAAAATTAAAAAATAAAAAAAAGATATTCTGACTGAAAGTTTTTTCATGGAGCTTAGGTCTCTCCCCAGATGAACTCTAGTAACTTCTCATTCTTAGATTAAAAATATATATATATATGTGTGTGTGTGTGTGTGTGTGTGTGTGTGTGTGTATGTGTATGAACAGCTATCATATCTTGGGAACTCTAGGAAAAGCTAGTTTGCTTCCTGAATTGGTTCAGACCTATCTCAAGTGGTGAGGCTGTTGTTTTCAATCTCCATTCACTGACTTATCAGGAGCAGCACTCTTGGATAAACTCAAAGTGTAAGTTTTTGTTTGTTTAATTAAACGTATTTTTACTTTTTTTTTCTAAAACTTTCTTAGGCAATTATTAGGAAGGACATATGAAACAAAGTTAGTAAATGAAAGGAGTAAGTCAGAACAAAGACAAGTAACTGGAAACTTGTACGCTAGTGATAAGATGGCACCTACTTGTGTACGAGACTCACATTCTACTGTGCAATTCCTGGAATCTGGGATAAAAGGCAAACAATAAATATTACACAACTCAAGATTAGGAAGAAGGAAGTACACCAGTTTCCCAATAAAGTAAAAATATTTCCTGGCAGTAAACTCCAAAAGAAATTCTCACGTAGAGATTATTTAAGCATAGTGTGACATTGTGGATAAATGGATGAATAAGAGCACCATTCTCTCCTGCAATATGTGAAAATTAAAGGAAGCAAAATATGTTAAGTTTTTAGAAATGTGATTGGCACATAGTGAGTTCAAAAAAATTAACTATTATCATCATGTGTATACAACAATTACATGCAAATTAGATAATAATAAACATTGACAATATCCACAGTGGTGGTTCTATACAAATGCAAATTTCCTTTCATTGTTTCATGAAATGACTCTAGCCAAGTACATAACATTACCACAACTCAGTGAAGGGGATCAACAACAGCTACAGTTAATGTGATTTAAGTATGGGACTGCCTGGTGTCCTCAATGGATCCAACCACAGAACAGAAGGCGTCTAGAGAAAGCCTTGGATTGCACAACCCCTAGGGCACCAATCTCAGATAAGCCATGAGGCTTCTTTGGGTAAACTAATCCACAAATTCAGTTCCTTTAGGCAAATGGCATACAATCCCACAGACTTTCAGTAACTGCTAAAGGAATTATTGAGGGTTACTAAAATTTGGTACTCTTAAAAGCTCACATTAACACTATACTAGAATTTCCTGAGGATGCTAATTTAGCATTGTATCAGGAAGACCGAATATTCTACAATGCCAAGATCAGAGAGTGGGAGGGCTTGGTTGGCTCATCATTAGCACTGTCCTAAGTATATTGAACTTTTCAGTGACAACTATTGCTGATTTTTAATATATTATTTTTTATAAACTGTTTGGTTTGTCCCACAATGTGTTATAATGTATATTTGCATCAAGTGTATTGCTAAAATTAAATCTGTATGATCCTCTCCAAATGTGCTTATTCCAGTGTATCTTCTTGGAGTTCTTGTATAATGGGGTAGCTTTTTCAGATCGAATGGCAATCATAAAGGGCGTGAGAGCCACTGCCTTAGATTTTTTTTTCTCCACTGGGTATCATCTCTCTCAGCTGGGTTGACCAGAGCTCAGAGAGCTATCACTGTATGTCTCACAGTTCTGGAGGCTGAGTAATCTAAGGTCAAGGTATTAGCAAATTCAGTGTTTGGTGAGGGTCATATTCTTGGCTGAGTTTTTACACAGCAGGAGACAGAGAGATCTCCAGAGTCTCTTTTACAAGGGTTCCAATCTCAGTCATGAGGGCTTCACGCTCATGAGGTAATCATTACCCAAAGAACGCACTAACAAATCCCATCACACTGAAGATTAAGCTTCAACATATAAATTGGTGGTGAAGGGGAACATTCAGTCCATAGTGCTTGGTTACTGGAAGTAAGGTTTATAATCAGAATAAAAGACTATAGTTTGAGTTAATGTCTAGCTGCCTCAAAACTCAATAGGGATTTATTAAATTTCCCATACAGTCAAGAATGCCTCCAGAAGTGCCTTGGTCAAATAGCCCCCTGGAGGAGTTGAGATCATCATGTATACCAGTACAATCTTTTTGGAAGCATCTATATCTTCCAGTCTTGCAGGTAGGTTTCACATGATGACACAGAGGAGAATGCATCTTAAAACTCCTGGCCGGTGTGTCTCGTTCCTGTATCAGAATCAGCTGTGTTGTTTAAAATTGTGGCTATGTTTTCACTTAGCCTCTACTTAGAAAAAAAAGTAAAATAAAAAATAAAATAAAATTGTGGATATGGAGGCCTCACCCAGAACTAGTGAATCACAGTTTCTAGGGAGTCAACAATGATGATGTGAAATCTAAATGTATATAGCCTCGGTCCATAACACACTCCTGCGTTCTCAGAGAAAATGGAAACCTTCAGCTGGTGGAATTTCTCTGATATCCTGCTATCAGATCTCCTAACCTCCCTTCACCTTTGCCTTCCATCGACCAGTCGTGCTCTGGATTCCACTGTCCTGCTTTATTTGCTGTTGTTTGCTATCAATTCTCTTTTTCCCTCCTATATTCAAATGTTCCTTCTCCAAAGGATTATTACTGTAGGTAGGTAAGTGAGTTCAAGTCTCTTTTATTTCATTTATCTTTTTCTTTATTCATACTAGAGTGTGTGCGAGTAGGATTTGGGAGGGGGAGCAACCCCCACAGGGCCTGGTCATGCTGCAATCCCCCTCCTCCAGTCCTCCAGTTGTTTGGATCTTGGGTACTACATTCATGCCCCACATGTTTCAGGCGGACAAGAGGGAGGATTTGAATCATCGTTGCCAGATGGAATCCAGCATCTCTTGAACATTGCTGCTGTGCCATGGAGCTGGCACAAATCTGTCTTTCTTCTTCTTTTTTTTTTTTTTTTTTCTTTTGCAATAGGGCATGTGTGCTCACCATAGAGGTGGGGAGGAAATGAGAAATCATCCTCAGGGGGATGGCCATGCCACAATCCCTTCTCTTCCATTAGCTTCTCAGGATCCTGGGTATGCACACACAGGCCCAGCATGATTTTCAAGCCACCAAGTCTGGGACTTAAACCACAGAGTCAACCATGTGGGGGTCCAGTGCCTTAACAACCTCCTCATCTGCTGATCTAGGCCCTAAGTCTCTTTTACTGAACAACAAATACAAATTAAAAATACCTCTCGTGGTCCCACACTCTCTCTAGCTACCACCTTCTTTGTCCTTTCCTAAACGAATCTTTTTTTTTTTTTTTTTTTTTTTAGAGAGAGATTTTTTGCTATAGGGCGCATGTGGTCACTAGAAAGACAGAGAGAGACAGAGAGACAGAAAGCAAGAAATCACCCCCAAGGAGGATGGCCATACTGCAATCCCTTTTCCATTCCTCTCTCAGGATCTTGGGCACACATGTACTTGTGTACAGTGTGAGTTTTAAGTTGCCAGTTCTGAGACTAAAACCATGGTCAGCTGCGTGGGGGTACAGCAATGTAAACTAGTCTTTTAAAAGGAGTTTATGGATTTGAATCTCTGTTTCTTCTTCATTCATTCCTCAGTTCATTCTTCTTCTTTTTTAAAAAATTTTATTTATTTATTTATTTATTTATTTATATTCATTCGCTGTACATCAATACAGCATACAAAATGGAATTTTCCATCTGGAACACACTGAATATTGGCTTAATCAAGGATGTTACCATACATATTATCATCAACAAATAATTTTCCATTTCTTGTTTCTTATGTATTTTGCTTTTTTCCCCCCTTGATTTCCTACTTCTCCCTGTCTGCCATTTTCCACCCTCCTCCCGTATTGTCTCTGGTATCTTCAGTTGTTTTCCATGTCTTTTCTTTTTCTTCACATTTTATTGATTTACTAAAGATCTTAATTAATCTAAAAACTTTCAATAGCAAGCACAGCTGATAGATACATATCTATGAACACATGTCTGACTTTAGGCGTAAAGCTCAGTGAGTAAAGTGAATATGCTATAAAGTAGCACCTAGCTGTGGCTATATATCTTACTGCAGTCATTAATAAGGTACTTTTTTAAATTTCAAGAAAAATAGTTTTAGTTTTAATAGATCAAACTCAAAAAATGGTAAGACTTAAAACCAGGAAAAAAGTTAGGTAGGATTCAGTTCAAATAGTAGGTAGATGAAACTATCAACAGCTTAAGAGAAGAAAAAATCCTTTCTCTTAACACTTTGAATATATTTTCCCATTCTTTCCTCGCTCATATTGTTTCCGATGAGAAGTCTGTTGTTAGCCTGATGGGATATCTTTTGTAGGTAACTTGATGTTTTCCTCTTGCCAAGAATACTGTATCTGGCATGATTATCCTTCATGTGGGAAGAAAAGACAAGGAAGAACATTCTCAGATAAACAAAACCTGAAAGAATTTACCAGCACCAGACCAGATCTCCAAGAAGTTCTCAAGGGAGTGCTATATCAGGAAAATTAAATACAG